AAAATCTATGGTTCTAAAATATAGTAAAAAATATCTAGACTCAACTTAACCTACAGCTTCTCCTCAAATTCCTTCTCTTTGCCCCTGGACTTATCTAGCAACCGCGGTATTCTGTGGATAAGACATCTTGGCATCAACAGAGTTGCCAGGAGGAGTTAAGGAAAGGGGAATATTAGAGATGTTGGCAGAAGGGAGAAGAAAAGAGAGAACACTGCCTGCCCACCACTGACCTGCAGATCCTGGGTGCCTGGAACCACCACCGGGTTTCTCGAGGGCACCTGCCCAGGGTTTATATTGTCTGATCAGGTGGGCTGGGCCTGCAGCATCTTTAAAATTGCCTCCAGGATGGGGAAGAAGAGCCTGGGTATTTCACAATGTCTGCAGTACAGTATAGATAATGAGAAGGTGGGCGTATTAATGAGTGTTTATTTGCAGAAGCCAGGCTTTGGGCACCTGCTCTTTGCTACTGTCATTGACACTGTTATTGGTGGTTTGGGCTGCCAGATAAACACTGCTGGGGTCAGATGTCCTTGTGTTGCCTTCCCTTTGATGCACCATGGGCTCCATTCTAGGCTTAAGGATCGCACATGCAAGAGGAGTATGTCCAAGGGGTCTAAGGACAGAACAATATCTGATGTCTGAAGTCCCCCAACATGAGTGGATGCTCACAGCCTGGTGAGTATGACCATGTCTGGAAAGATGACAGGGTGTTCAATCACTGGTATAAATGAGATAAGACAGAATGCCTAAGAAAAATCACCTCAGGAAGGTGATTGGCCTTAGATCCATCCTGGACAAAGCAGGCACCCTGTGCCCTGGACAGCTAGGGCACATGACAAGGGGAACAGGGCAGAGGTGAACACTCAGGCCCCTAACTGACAGAACTTAACTAAGTCCATCCATCTACCCATCTATCCGTCCATTCATCCATCTATCCACTCACAAGGGGCAGAACACTTAGGTGCAGTGTTCTCTGGAGTCCAATTGCCTAATTGCAATTTTTCCTCTCAGCTCATTTGCAAAGTTCCATGAAAGGCTTGGGGAGGAAGGGGAGAGGTCAGTACAACACCCAGATACCTACAGAGTGAGGTGAGGGATAAGAGAAGATGGGCAGGAATGGGACCATATTTCTGTTTTCTAAGACTAATAGTCAGTTTTGACACCTTCTCTCAATCTCTTGTCCCTCTACGTAAAGGGCAGAAGCATGGTGTATGATTCCTGGCAATCAGTGAGTGTTTACTGAGCACTCACACCGCTGTGCAACAGGCATACAGCACATGGTCCCTATTGAGTAGTTTTACAGTCCAGCTGGGGATCTAAGTCATAAACACTTGAAAAGACAAGAAGACCAGACTCTCGCCCTGGCCTGTTGGTTCAGTTCGTTGGAGCATGATCGTGTATACCAAAAAGGTTATGGGTTTGCTTCCCAGTCAGGGCACATATCCAAGTTGTGGGTTCAGTCCTTGGTCAGGACACTTATGGGAGGGGACTGATCAATGTTTCTCTCTCCGCTCCTTACCGCCTTCCATTCTCTCTAGAATCATTGGAGCATATCCTCAGGTGAGGATTAAAAAAAAAACCCAAAAGGCCAGGGTTTAATCTGTGGGCTGAAGACATATTGTGTTGGAGACAACACACAGGCAGACAATTTCCTTGAGTAAAAAACCAAATTTCTAGAATTGTAACAGCCTTAGACATGACATGATTGGTGCTACAGTGTCCCTGGAAAGTAGGTGCAGCCGCTCAGCTTCAACACCTCTAGGGTCAGGGACCTAACAGCCTCTTAGAGAAACCCTAAAAGTGTGTGTGGTCCTTATGGGTAAAATTTTCATGTCACACAAGAAAACAGCTCTCTCTGTCCTCATCGGTCTTGCTTGCATGTTCTGGAATTACACAGAACACGTGTGTTCTCCTACTGGCAGTCTTGGATTACTGGAGGGGGTTCTCCGTGTATGGTTTCTTCAGGATGCGGGCCCCCAGCACCTTCACTGCTTCTCTGTGACTTGGTCTGGGACCCTATGCTCTCAGGACATGCCATGGTCCTCAGTGCTGACAACTGCCACAGGCTGCACGGGCCGTGTGAACACACCTCTGTAAATACCAGCTGAGGTGGGGGGCTGGTGTTGAAATGGAAGAAATCTGAAACCACTAGACCAGTTTCACTTGAACATCATGATGTCAGGACCCCCAGTTTGTATATGTAGCATTTTCCATCCCTCTCTTTTCAGTAACCGTGTGTCAGCTCATCCCTGATAAAGTTCTTTTGAGCTCTAACACCTTAAAATGATGAAGAGCCACTTCAAGCAGGAGAAGCTTCAGGAATGAGAAAATTTTGGCTGCTCCCTGAGGGTGGAGCAGCTGAAATTTAGATGGTGGAGGAGAAAGAATGTTCTAGGGTAAAAAATTACTTCCACGTTCCACTCATTGGATTCTAATTACCCAACACTATGCAAGATGCTTGGAAACAAGCTGATGCATCCTTGACCTTCAGAGCGTTTTAGGGGCCACAGACCCCAAGTCTACTTATTACAATGAGGGAAAGTTTGCATAGAGGTGGACACAAGACTATGAGAGCAGATGTCCAGGCATCTTAACTCAGCAGAGGCTCCTTGGAGGAGGTGATAATGAAGGTCTATGGCTGGGTCTGTGGGCATAGTGTGAACCAGGTCTGCAGAAAGAGCCTGGGGCCTGGAGGCATATTCTTGGAGTCCTAGGAGGCTGTGGTCAGAGGTCCAGGAGGCAAATCCCCTGGCCTGGCCACCCCCTTGTTAGTCCCTCAGTGAAATCCAGGCAGGTCTGACAGGTAAAGAACAGGTGCAACTCTTGGCTCATATATGGGTCCCTTTCTGGCCTCTGCTCTCACCCCCAGGGTTTAGGTGGAAACACTGGGGTCACGGTCACTGGCATGCATGGCTGAAAGTGCAAATGCAGTTAAGGAAGAACTAAACCTTGCAGAAACAGAGAATATTCAACAAATTTGATGTGATCAGCTTTTGAATAGAACGTTTGGGGAAATAAGGGGCCAAAATTCATTTTGAGAAGGAAAATAAATAAATGTATTTACTTCTGTTCCCTATGTATTAGTCATCTTTTGCTGCCTAGCAAGTGACACCAAAACTTAGCCACTTAAAGCACCAGACATTTATTTTCTCACACGGCTTCTGAGAGCTGGTGCCTACAGCAGCTTGTCTGGGTGGTTCTGTGTCATAGTCTCCTCAGGTTGCAGTCGGCAACATCCTGGCAGCCTGACCAAGGCTGGAGGGGCTGCCTCCACACTCATTCATGTGGCCCTAGGCCAGAGGCTTCATTTGTCACCACTCAGGTCTCTGTCACTGCTTATAACATGCAGCTGCTCCCCCAGCTCAAGGGAACAAAGAAAGAGAGACCAATGTAGAAGCTACAGGAATCTCAGAAGTGGCACTGCATGACTTCTGCCGTATTTTACTGGTCATGGAGATAAGGGTGCCGTGTGGGAGGGGACACACTGTGTAGACACCAGGAGACCTGGGCCTTAACTTCCTAGGGCTGCCATGAGAATTACCACAGACTTGGTGGTTAACACACCAGTCCAGTGGGGGAGACTGGCAGACGATGCTCATCTGGAGGCTCTGGGGGCAAGACTTCCTCCTGGTAGGTGCCTCGGCATCAGTGTCCTGCCTTATTGTAGCACAGCTCTGGTCTCTGTCTCCATCTACATGTGGCCTTCTTGCCTAGGTCTCCTGCTCTGATCAGGACACCAGGCACACTGGATATAGGGCCCACCCAAAAACAGCATGACCTCAACGAATTGCACCTGCCAAGGCCCTATCTCCAAATAAGGACACAGTCTGGGGTTCCTGGGAGGACATGAATTTATGGGGACATTACTTGACCAGCACAGGAGACACTTGGAGGCTGAATCCCACACCCTGAAATCTCAGGGGACCATGACCACTCCAGGTTAGAGTGCAGGGTTTTCTTCCTGTGAATTCCCTCCCCAGGAGACTCCAGCCGCAGGAACCCACCATACCCTCCTCCTTGGCAGCTCTGCTGAGAGCCACCTCCTGCTGCTGCCAACTGAAGCTGCAGAATGCAGTCAACTCAAACTTCAGTCTGGGGATGTGGGGGCAACCAGAGACGATGTCTGCTCTGCCCACCTTAAGATTAGTTCTTCTGATTGTGACATAGTAATCCATCTTCAGTATAGAATAATTAGAATATACAAATAAATAAAAAGAACAAAAGAAAGTCATCTATAATACCAGTACCCCCACATTGATAAAATTAAAGCAAACTCTTTCGGACATTTTTCTGTATTTTTTAATTAAATGAGTATTTTTTACTTAAAACAGTGTTACAGATATGCCACTTTGTAACTTACTCTTTTCACTTAATGTCATGAGCATCTTTCCATGTGAATAGACACCAGCATCTTGGATTTTAATTGTACCTGAGTTTCAAAAGGAGTGACATGCTTGCCCATCCTCAGCTTTCTGAACTGGAGCCATTTCTCTGGGCAGCACCACCCTACACTGCCCACGGTGACAGCATCAGGGAGGGGATGGAAAAGGCACAGAGGACGGACTCTGAGTTAAAGGGAAGGAGGAAGGGGCTGGACCCTGGGTCTCTAACTCTTTGGCTCCCTCCGTCTCCTCCATCAGGGTGGTGACAGGACCCCATGTGAGCAGCTGGTGGCTCTAATAGGTTCAACCTGGGATAGGGCTGGCCTGTGGGGCTCAGGGGCACTGGGAAAGTTACCACAGAGCGTGAAGGATTTCCACTACTCCCCCTTTTTACCTCAAGTCATTTTTGCAAGGTTCCACACCAGCAAAGAAAGTGTGAACTAAGTCCCAAACTTCAGCAGAATTTACCCAAACTGGGACCCAGGAGAAGGAAGAGTGGCTATGTCCCAGCCAATCTAGTGAGGGCCTCAGAAGAGAAGAGGGGTGGTCATCTAGGCCTCCTCCTCTTCCACTTGCCCCAGCCAGCTCTGTCCACAGGGTCTTGAGGGGTGCATTGCCCTAGTCACATTGCTGGAAGTAGAAGTCTGTGATGGGGTTGTCTCCACTGCCATCCTCTGGGAGCTGGGTCAGTCTGAGAGGCTGGTCGGCTTCAGACATAGTGCAGAGGTACCAGCCCGGGAAGGCAGCTGACTCGAAGCTAGAGGTGAGCCCTGTGTCCCGCCTGTAGAAGGTGAAGCTCTTGGAGTCCTTGTCGCTGTGGTAGAGCTCCATAATGTCCACTGCCTGTGAGCAGAGGGCAGAGCAGTGAGGGGTATGAGTGGAGTGGCCAGGAGGCCAGGGCTGAGGACATGGGACACAGAGCAGCAATGACAGAACCCTGTGGGAATGGCACTCAGTTATCAGGAGCCTAGCGCCAGAGATACAGCATCTGCTGCTCAATGAAGCCAGGTGACACCCCACAGTACTCACCTCTAGTTTCAGAGTCGGCTCCTGCTCCGTACCACATGACAGACACTGGCTCCCTCCCTGGACGCCCAGGATGACTGGAGAAAGACTGATGTCCAGAAACCGATTGGGGACAACACTGATCTCCTCGCCTAGAGGAGGGAAGCCAGATTCAGGAGCCTTGACTACCTTCCCTCCTCCTCCCCCGTCATGAACTTTGGGAAGTGCTGTCCCAAGGTCTCAGCAGCTGCCATGTGGAGAAGGGTGGTCTCCTGCCAGCTGGTCCAAAAGACATCAAGGCACGTAGCACATTGTACTACCCCCCACCCCCACCCTCTTGCCCAGGATCAAATCTTCAAGTCTTCTCCAAGCCCCACGGGACATTTAACCTTCTCCTTTAATACCCCTCAGCCCTCTGGCCTCTCCTCAAAGTTATCTGGGCATTTTTCTACCTCCTGAGAGATTCTTAAGGACAGGAGAAGGTTTCAGTCCTCTCCGTGCCACCCACACACATGCATGCACACATGCGCACACATGCACATATATACCAACAGATACGTGCACCCATATGAGCATGTACATACACACAGCCTTGCAGAGGGTCTGCCTGGCCCCAGCGCCCGGTGAACATGTCCCAGGTGGGCAGGTGAATGCTGTTTTAGAGAAAAGGGCCTGTCGCTTGCAGTATGTTGTGCAGAATGAGTAAGTGCCAGGCCAGAGTGTGCTTGCAGCTCCCACTCTGAGTGCCCAGCGATGTCCTAGAGCAGAGGGGACCCTCAAATGAGAATAAAGATACAGGGAGCCTGATTACTTCTTTCCAGCACTGGCTCCCAGGGAAAGGAAGGTGTGACCTAAATCTACCTGTGAGGGGAGAGCAAAGCATCCTTCTCAGGAAACATTCCCACCTCTGCAGAGAGGCACCAGGTGGCACTGGGGCATGTGTCTCACTTTGCTGGAAGGTGTAGCATTTTTTTGTCCTTGCTCAGAGCCTGGTTTCAAGACACCCTGGCTCCTGTGTCAAGCCTGGGTCTTACATGACTATTCTAAGTCACCCCAGCCCCTCCCCTCAGAGCGCAAAGAGCCCTACGGAAGAAGGGTCCTGTTTGGCACCCACCTTTCATGACCTTCCCTGCATGCATCCCACCGGCCAGAAGCTGGTTATCTTGCACATATAGAACCTTCAATGCTGCATCCTTCATTCTGCAATATCAGGACAATGACACTCATTCAGGGAAGAGTGGGTGTCCAACTTGCCCGGCTCCAGAGTCCCCCAGTCCCAGGCATGGCCACCCTCTCTGTCCAGTGTGCCAAAGGAGTGGCACAACCTTCTCTCAGACCCACTGGGTTCACCGTGTGACTGGGGGATGACCCCACAGTCGTCTCCGGAGTCAAAGATGTTCTCTTTCACCCTATTTCATCTTCTGTACACTAAGCAGTCCCTCGTGTGTCATGTTGGAAAGTCAGAGTCCTGGGTCTCGTCCTGCTCTGCCCTCACTGCTGCTGGGTCACAGCAGACAAGCCACTCACCCCTCTGGGCTCAGGTCTGCCTATCACTAAGCTAAGACGGCGAGTTAGCCAATGCCCAGCCTCTTCCAGATGAGCATCTAATTCTTCAGTCACTACTGCAGACATCAAGGGGCTTTTACTTCTGCTGGGCCACATATTCCTGACTCAATTAAGAATTCCTTTAAATTTAAAATGGCTTCCTCTTACTTTTCAAATGTATTTCTCATCTGTGAGCTCAGTTGATTTTCTGGCCTCCTGTGAGGCGAAGGTGTATCCTGCAGTGGGTTTTCTCAGATGTTACATGGAAAAAAGTACGCTGTATACGAATTGGTTCAATGTTGGCTAAATATAGACAAATCTCTACTTCAAAGTTCCAAACTGCTTTCACATTAAAAGAGACATAAACAGTAGCATTTCCCACATTTACTTTATCAGGGAGCTCCATTGTGTAAGTAAAGCAGCTCGTAGGATTGAGATCCCCCAGAACAGACTTTGAGGAAAGCTGTCTAGGCTCTGAGTTCAGCGAGAGCAAGAATGAGTGTCGCGCATGGCTACGATGTCCAGAGCATAGCTGAGTGCCTGGTCAGCGCACACCGAAGGACAGACAAGCTGGTGACAGTAATTTTGATGCTGTTGTTTTGTCCCAAAGGGCATCAGGGAGCAGTGGCACAGAGGGGCCGGCCATGCTGAGGTTACTCACCTCAGTAGGTGTAACAGCAGGTCTCCTGACTTCCAATCTCAATATGGACACATGAGGCTGCAGCACCGCAGAGGTGGCTCACCTGTCCCTCTTCACATGGAGGATCCCCCATGAGGTGGCCCCCTAACTGAAGAAGCTGAAGGATTTCTCCTAGGGCAACTAAGGGCTGTTCACAATCGCCTACCTGCCCACCTCAGAGGGGGAGCTGCAGTTTGGCTGGTCCAGGTCCCTCCCTCCCAAGGGTGGAAAAAGGTTGGTGTTCACTCCCCCCAAGGACATGGACAACTCGGAGACGCAGATACTCACCGGAAGCACAGGGCCCCGCTCAGAACCATCCTGACCTTCAGTGTGTGGACAGTCCTGTTGTGAAAAAACAGGTGTTAGCTGGAGACAGAGTTGAGCTGTCAGGGGCCTGGGTAGCAGGCAGCCTCCCAACCCTCCCCCCACCACTTGAACAGCCCCCACAAAGCAGGGGATCCTAGGTCTGGGGTCAGGAGAGAACCCCAGTCTTTATGGGTAGAATGAAACCAGCTCCCCAAAACACCTGAGCACACTCCTTCCTCCTGGTGGAGCCTACGGTGACTGCCTGCTGCTCCTGCCAGGATGAGCGCAAGGACGCGTGGGCCCTTTAATAACCTGCTAGGGAGAGGCCTGAAACTGCCACAGACAGGAGGAGCAGAGTTTCCCACGGTAACCTCACACCGCCCTATCTCTCCCAGGGAAGGAAGGTCCTGGAAACCGTCTTCCTTCCAACAGCTCTGAAAACGTCCTGGGGTTTTCTACCTCTTCCTGAGCACTTGGTTCCTGGACCTCAGGCTCCTCCAAATCCAAAGGTGTCAGTGCAGACAGCAGCTCAGAAAGACCTTAGAACAACTGCCTTCCTTTCTTCCTCTCTCCATCCTTCTTCTTTCCTTCCCTCCCTCCCCAATCCCTCAGGCCTGTGGATGTTCCTAGAGGTGGGGCTCTTTTGCTTAGGGGATGTTTAGTCTGCATATTCATTGTCGAAAAACTTGAAAATCCAGATCAGCAAACAAGAAAACTTGTCTTCATGGCTATAGCACCATCGGAAAGCCCAGCTTTTCCTCTTCACATGGACACACTTACCTGGCTTTCCCAGGACTGTATTGTAGGACTACACCCTTTTCAACCTGCTGTGCATGTAACAAAATAGCACAATATCTTTCCATATCAAATATAGATAACGAGGTCATCACTTTCAATAACTATTCAGTATTTCATTGTATAGGTGCAACATCATTTATTTATAGTAATCAATTCTTAGTAGTCCTTTATACTGTTGTCATTTGTTGTTGAAAATGATGTTGTGACAGACATCCTTGTGTCAGCATCTTGGCTCATGTGTCTCATGACTTCCTTAGGAAGTAAAATCTAGCTCATGCTATCTATGATTGATCTTTCTTCAATCCATAATTGGTAAAATAATACGTGATTGTGTAATGGTTCAGGCAGTGTTAATACATCCATATACTCTCTGCGATCTATCTGAATGGAAGGTAAGGATCCTAGCATAATAATGAAATTTAATTATGTCTTGAGTGCCACTGATAACCATTTACCGTTAAGGCATGATTTTTTTTTTTGAAAATTTTGTTTAAGCTTTTGGCCTAAATGAGCCTTAAAGTGCTCAAGAGTAATTAAAATATCAGGTTGTTCAAAAGATAGAAAATAGCCCTGGCTGGTGTGGCTCAGTGGATTGAGCGTTGGCCTGCAAAGGGTCACTGGTTTGATTCCCAGTGTAGGGCACATGCCTGGGGTGTAGGCCAGGTCCTCAGCAGGGGACGCGTGAAATGCAACCACACGTTGATGTTTTTCTCCCTCTTTTTCTCCCTCTCTAAAAATAAATAAATAAAATCTTTTTTTTTAAAGTCTCTCTTTTAAAAAAAGAGATAGAATACAATCTTCTATTAGTCACATAATGCCACTAATGTGATTTTTCAGAAAAATAAAAGATGTGGGGTTTATCTTATTACAAAATTATTAAAATAATCATAAATTGATCAAATAAGCATGACACTGAAATAGTTGCAAAGCAAAAACAAAAACAGAAAGAAATTCCAGGAGGAGCTGGTTTATAAGCAAAGTGATTCTAAGCAAACAGGCTTTTATTTGCAAAGTGACTATGGAAAAGTAGATATTATTTCGCCTAAAAAAGGTAAAATGCCACCTGTCCAGGCTGCCTTCTCTGAGTCCCTGTCCCCGGTGAACCCGCAGCTTCACAAAACTCTTCTTCCTTCTGCTTATTAAGGAATGACCCCGGTGCATGCCTTAGCCCTCCCCGCCCTCAGACCAGTGCGCTCATTGAGGGTGCTGGGCAGGCCTCTGCCAGTGCTATATCTACATTGTGATGAGCCTCAGTGAGACAAATATGAACAAGTGGGTGAGCTAAGAAGGTGGAAATAAAAAAAGATAAACTCTTGTGAAGAAAAGTTCTCCAAACTTGCAAATACAACAAATGATGACTGCGTGTGCCCGCAGTGTCATAGGGGAGCGTCGCCAGACAGCCCCCCCAAGAATTATTCAGTTCTCTAAAGAATACACCTTCGTTTGACTTATTAGTACTCTGTATTAGATACCAGACCCTGTTAAGCTAGATTTGAACTAGAAGATTGGTAATTTGCAAATTAATTTCTGCCTTATAGAAAAAATAGCCCCAAAGGGGGCAGTTTTACTGCCTTGCAATTCATTAAGCAGTTTTTTTAACTCTAAGTTAGCCAAGCTATTCCACACTTTCTCCTCTGTTCCTGACTTATCTTTTAAATCAACTTTATCATCCTGCTGGTTCCTTCATTTATTAATAATCATAAACTTTTACATGTGCTCATTATGTGTTTGCATGAGAATCATGTTCTAAACTTTCTGAAAATTAAGCTGGCACTACCTAAGACAATATTATTTTGCCCCAAACTCACACATCCTGTGTGGTGATTTTAAAATATGTCCACAAATTCTTGGGTACTCGGCCTTCAAGAAGTGGAGCTTGAGTCCCTTCCCTTCAGTGTAGGCTGAACTTAGTGACTTGCTTCTGGAGAACATGCTGTGAGGTCTGTCGCCTCTTGCTTCATCTTTCCGGGATCACCCACTTGGAGGAAGCCGGCTGCCATGCCCTCAGGACACTCAGGCAGCCTGTGCAGAGGCACATGTGGATAGGAACTGCAGTCCCTTCTAACAGCATTTGAGGGAGCAACAGACACAGTACCTGTCCCTTGCCTTAGTCCAGGCAAGCCTTAGTTGGTGCTGCCGTGACTGACATCTGCAGCTTCAAGAGACACCCCAAGCCGGACCTCCAGCTGATATCCTTGCTCTGATGCCTGATTCGGAGAACCCATGAAACAATAAAGGTTTGCTGTTTTGAGCTGCTATGTTCTGGGATATTTGTTACACAGCACCTGGGAACTAGCACACCTGGTCACCACTATTGGCACTTTCTCCTCCTGTTGCTTCTTCGTCCCCAAGGTCTTCAGTGGGCACCCTTCCTTTTTGCAAGATATCTCAATTCTTCATGGGCTTCATGTGACTGTGGAGGTGCCCAGAAGCTGTCCCAGCCTGCAGAGGCTAGTTTCCCTGCAGGGGCCTCTCACCACCTTCTGAGAGTGCCAGGGCCTCGAGATAAGGTTGCACCTGCTCTCACAGCCATGTCCATACCTGTGTAGTGTGGAGGCACATGTTCACAAACAGCTCACTATAGTAAAATAGTCATTTTTATCAGGAAGGTAATTTTAACATACTTAGCATAACCAATATTCATGTGGTATTCACTATGTGCCTCGTACTGTGTTTAGGGTTTGCCTGAATGTTCTCATTTTATGCTTATAACTGCTCTTTGTGGTAAATACTATTATTACCTGTTCCGTGGATATAGAAACCCAACATAGAAAGATTAATTGCACTGCCTGTTATTAGTAAGACCAGTAATTAGTATTAGAGTCAGGACCAAATCCAGGAAACCTAAGTTTAAGCTACTGACCCCAAGATACAACATAGCAGTCAGAGCAATCCTTTTACAACCTGAGTCAGACAGCATCACCCTTTGTTCTGCATTTTTAGAGTAAAAGGCACATCTTCACCCTGATTTGAGGCCCCCAAATCAGGCTCTCGTTAGCTCTTGGCTTCATTCTTTCACCACCTCAGACCACAAAGGCTCCTTGCTCCCACCTCAGGGCCTTTGCACTGGCTGTTCCTTCTGCCTAGAAAGCTCTTCTCCAAGATACCCACAATGCTTCCTTCTTACCTCCTTAGAGCCTTGGCTAAAATGTCACCTTCTCAGTGAGACCTGCATTGCCATCCCATGCCTCTCTTCCTGCTCCCACATCCCTTATTGTGATCTACTTCTCTCCAGAGCTCTCAGCACTTATTAGCATATTGTATAACTCAGCTGTGTATTGCGTGCACGTGTGATCAACATTACTAACCAGCTCCCCCTCCTGGCCCCGCCAGAAGTTAAGCTCATGTGGAGGTGTGTCCTGTCTATTCTGTTCATTGGTGTATTCCAAGCGTGGAAGGTGCCTGGTGTACAGTCTGTCTTCCATAAATCATGTTCCATCAGCACTGAATGAACTGTGTGCCATATCACATCAACAAGGCCAGAGAATTGTCACCATTTTGTTCACAATTATGATTTTATTTCTGAGACAGCTTTGTTGCTTCTGGACCTTCATCCTCTTAATGTAGAATTAAGACCATGGGTGGACACACTGTGGCCTGTAGGCTAAGATGGGCGCACTGTCCCTTTTATTAATAAAGTTTCGCTGGAGTACAGCTGTGCCCATTTGCTTACACAGTCTATGGCTTCACTGTTGCAACAACAGCAGAGTTGATATTTGTGACAGAAACAGCCTTTTAAAGAAAATGTTTGCTGAACACTAGTCAAAACCGTTTTGATTCAAGTCCTAAATCTGTCACTTATTAGCATGTGTCTTCGGTCAAGTTATTTAGGCTTTCTACGTTTTGTAGTTATCCATAAAATGGGGATAAAAATAGTACTTCCTCAGGGGTCATTGTTAAGATGAAATGAGTCAATACATGTGAAGTGTCTAGAACCGTGCCTGGCACGTAGTAGGGGCTTAAAGTTCCACTATACCATCATTATTGTCACTATCAGTTGCATGGCCTTGGGAAACTTGCTTCATCTCTCTAATTTGATGATTTATCATGCCTCATTTTTGTTTCTCCGTAGAGAGGACAGTAGTCTCCCCCTCACTGGGCTGTCATGAGGGTGAGATGAGTCAGAGGCTGTAAAGGGCAGAGTCGACATTTAGCACAAACCGACACCTGCTCCCTGTCCTCTGTGTGTCTCCTCCTCCTGTACTCATCCCAG